AGCAATGCTCACACATGTTTTGAATTTTGTTCACAACTCCATGTTGTGAATAAACTGTAAACAATCTGCTCATACTGACTCACAGCTTGAGCATGTAAGAGGAAGCTGGGGCTTTTCATCTATCTAATCGCCAGACAGATGCATTACTTCTCAGTCATCTATGAGCTCTAGAGATGTCTCACTGCAATTATTCTTCCTCTCATTTTACAGATTTTGTGAGGCCTCACAGAAAACATGGACAAGCTGTTCTCATTCCAGTTCCTTGATGCTGTTCGCAACAAGCTGGCAGTGAACTTCCCAATACGGAGGAGAACAACATGGCCTGCCACCATCCTCAGCGAATGCAAGGCTGGGTTCACAACAAACAGTCGCGATTTCACTGTGACAGGCACTGAGATTTCGCTGGTGTCTGTGACAGAAGTGAGAACGGTGGTCGCCAAGGGGCCGTCTGCCCCGTATCCATCTCCCGACTCGGTGCAGCTCAGGCAGCAGCGACACAGACTCCCTCCACTTCTCGGGGGCTCCAGCGACCTCGGCTTAGCCAGCTTCTGGCCTCTAACCGAAAACCACCCGTGAAGAGGCAGACAGAGACAGGAACTTTGTGATGGGAAAAACCACCTACAACTATCATCAGAATCCTTACGGAAATGCCTGGCCTCAAATCCGTGATCAACAAAAAAACACCCTAAACAAAACCCCAACACTCCAGGGCACAGACAACAGACACGTAACAGAAACGGTTCTGAGAGGGTGTCTGGCCACTGGAACCGGCTCTCCAGGGAAGCGGTCACGGCACCCAGCCTGTCAGAGTACAGGGAGCACCTGGACAGTGCTCTTAGTAATATAATTTAGTTTTAGGTAGTCCTGTGAGGAGCAGGGAGTTGGAGTCAATGATCCCTATGGGTCCCTTCCAACTTGAGATATCCTACAAGTCTTCTGCTACAGGGTCTACTCCATCTCACCCCCAGCACAGAAGTTATTCATCAGTTTCTTCTGCCTTGAACTGAGGATTCATGAGACAGAAGAAGAAACAGGAGAACCAGTAATGAGTTTGTCCAAGTAAGAGGTAAAAAATAATATAAATAGATGCAAGACACTTTACTGTACCTATGCACTCTGCAATATCGACTTATATCAAATTGTATGAAATACAGGAATTAATTCTGAATTACCTGTACTTTTATTTCCCCATAGCCTAGACTCAGGAATTTCACTATGAACTGGGTCACTACTATGAAGAATTGCAAAGGTTTTTCCCTTGCAGTAAGGGGAAAAATCTCATCCACACAGTATTCTGCAAACCGCTCACTGTGCTGTTGAATTAACAACGAAAGGAGCCCCAAGGCAAGCAGAAAAAGGAAACCACTACTCGCAACAGAGAGAGGAGAAACGAGTTAATTAGAGGAACCTTCAGTAATATCATTCATCAGATCATCAATTTACTGGGAGAATAAAAAGAGAAAACAGTCTGCAATCCTGTTTTCTAACTCATTCCTATACCTGTCCATAGGAGAGCATTTTTGCCTGCCTGTCTGCTCCATCGCGTGATTGAGAATTTGTGAAACAGGACACAGGTAGCATGAGTCGCTGGTGTATGTGGCTTCAGAGAAGGTCTTATGCTTAAAGGCCACATGTCAAAGTAACTGTTAAATTTTCTAATATGTAAGAGTTTAAAGGATTAAGTTTCTCACTGTGGAGAGTCACAGAGCTGAAAGCAAGACAACAGATCAATCGATTTCATTCTGAGACAATGTTCATTGAAACAAAGCATGGAGACTGCACCAAAACTACTTTCTCTAGAGAAAGAAGAGCAAAACAGCAAGTTTTGTGCTGACACAACCAAGCCATTATAAAATCAAAGTCAGCTGGATTTGACTCTAGGTATTTTAAACTATTTGTAGGTTCAAATGTTATTGCTATCAAAACCTACAAAAAACAAGAGATGCTGTCTACCAATAAAAATAGTTCTTTTGGAGCTTTTGTTCTACACTCCTTTTTTTTAGAAATTAGATCCCCATTTAGGAAGCATGGAGTGAAATGTGCACTCACACAAATACAACAAAAAATATTTAAAGATTTAGCATTATAGCTTGATTTTAGCAAGAGCTTTTACTACCTGGACAGCTTCAGAACAGAAAAAGTTTGTTAAAAAAACCCCCTGAAACGAATGATGTAATGTGTCTAAAGGGCCTGCGTATCTCAGACTGAAAATAAGATTATAGAAACAGACATCAGTTCAGGTTAAAATATTACCAGGCTAAGATGAGATGTGTCAACGGTGACAGAATTAGTGGAAATAGGTATAGGAGCCTTACAGCTTAAGCCAGCAGTTCCAGCCTGGCTTCCTTGCTATTACACGTGGCAAGCAGAATTGCTTTCCTCAGTCCTGTGAAAGGAGGTAATGGACTTATTCTAATGCCTGGTTAGGTGTCTTTAGTGAAGACCTTGATGACAGAAAAGAGAATGCTTTGTGGGATAAGATGACAGAAATACCAGCAGTGCTGGAGTGGCCATTTTCCCTGTAGTTCTGCATCTTCCTCATCTCCAAGGCAAGAGAAGGAAATATGCAGAGTTTGGCTCTGTTAGCCCTGTGCTAAGGTAAAAAGAATCTGAGCTTAAAAACCTTTACAAGTTTTTTGCATCTGCTCTGCTGTCGAACGTCTATGAAGAAGAACGGCGAAGGTCAGCGTTCCCGTTCGGCAGGACGGGCGCTGCAGGGCACGCGCGGCTCAACACGACGTCTGGGGCGTCAGCAGGAGTGACGGGGCACAGGGGAGATGACCGCACCTCTGTGGAGGGGCAAGAGGCAAGACAGCCTGTGCCAAGACGGATGCTGAAGAGGGTAAGTGGTGAGGTACCGATGAAAACTGCAGAGAGCAAGGGCTGTTTATGGACATACCAGACTGCTGAGCAATTAGCTGGGGAAGCTATGCCTGATACTGCTGATAACAAAATTCCAATATTTAAATTCATTTGAGATTGAGTTATTTTGCCCCTTTTTTTTCCAATAAGTGAAGTCATCTGCTACTGCTAACTATCCTCTTCCCTCTCCTGGCTCCGCTCCTAGTGCATACTGTTACCATGATTGCTATTCTGTTATTTTGCCTTTCATGGAGACAAAGCACTCTTAGTAGGATTTTCCAGTCAGCTGGCACGAACAAGGGTTAGTTTGGTTTTCATTATTTCTCAGCATCATTTTCAAGACTACGCTGACATGCACAAAAATAATGTATAAAAATATTAAAACATTATTAAAAATTTGTTTGTGTTAGGGAACGTGAGACAACTTCATCCGAGTGAGCCCAGTGCTGTTCAAAGATCTGTGGCAAGAACATTTGGAAAAGTTTACACATATCCCAAAGGATCTCACTGTTTTTTCCTTTGCATAATTTTTCCATGAATAATCCTTCAAATGTTATAAATGAATGTTACTTTTGCAATCCTTCAGTAGAACATGTGAACATTTACAGTCTCCAGAGTTTTAAAAAAAGCAACAGGGTGAAGGAGTTACAGTTCACAGTTTTTCTCCGCTAAAAATCTACCAATAAACCAATACTAGGCACCCAAACAGAAGACTGAAAATGAGTTGCACGTTACATGCTGACAAACAGAGTGATTTTTCAGGAAGGTAAAACAGTCTCAACTTTTTACTGTTTTTTTGGTGAGCAGCTAAGAAGTAAAACTGATACTTACAAGCTCTGTTTCTAAAACTTAATAAAGACATTCCAAGCCACAGATTCTCTAGTTAAATCTCTGCTGTAGATTTTTACTGTTCTGTTGCCATTGTAACCAAAGTCAGTGGGTGACAATTAGAACTTTCAAATAGAAAGACCTACTTACAAAACACACAATAAAGAACTTAAGAAGAATTTTGTGCACAGAATCAAGAATAATGCAAAAAAAAAAAAATCTAGAATGATGGCTATTGTAAAAGCATAGTTTTAATTTTCAGAGTATTGCTTCACAATTCAACTAAAGCCTATTAACGCATACAACATGAAAGAAACGAGCAAACTACGAACAAGAATCAGAGCCTTTGGCTGCACCTCTCTTGTGAGCCCCCCAAAAGCCCATTAAAAAAAAAAAAAAAGGTGTGTTTTGGTCAGACAAATTGAAGTCTGCCTGCTCTCTTTGGAAACGGTGTGCAAAGGCCTGTTGCTGCAGAGGTCAGGAAGATAATTTTGGTTACTGAATGAATGTACTCTTTTTTTCAAAAGGACTATGAACTATTCCTAATACCATGCCCTGGGAGTAAAGGGAACACAAAAAGGATTTGGTACTTCTGCCACATGATCTCTGTGGCTGTAATTAGTGTCCTGTTGTAATCTCCATCTCCACTCTGTGTAACAGCAAAAGGTGCAGACACAGTTATAAAAAGTAATTTGGAAATATTCTGCAGTGCTTTTTTTTTTACTCTAAGGACAATAAGGGGGATAGAAGATTAGTCTGTCTACTTTGGCAATCAAGAATTTCTAAATCTAGAAATATCATAGAAAGTAAAAGATTAATTCACTGTTTCATTACAGACTTTATATTTTCTTCCACAATCCTCCTCCTCTTTTCATTTTTTGCATTTAAGAATACGTTAAGTTTAGGGAAACATTCAGCAGAAATCATGAGTGAGATTGCTGCAAATAAGCTGCCTTTGCTGCACTGTCTTTTTCTTCTGTAAGTATTTT